GAAGCCTTATGATTTAATAGGTCACTTGGTGTTAGATCTTAGACTTGGGTGTAAGGACTTCAATGAATAAGCCCTTAATGGGAACATTGGGAGCTGGCCGAGTACGCAAGGCGTACCATGGGAGTACATATGACGTACTACCTTGGATCCCCATAATTTGGGAAGGGCATCTCTACGTCATGCGTAGAGATGGAGTATGCAGGGCGTACTCAGCCTGGTTGGGATTTTGACTTTTGACTCTTGACCATTGACCATGGACTTGACCAAGTTTAACTTAAGGGAATTTTGGGTAATTTAGATATTTGTTTGAGATTGGTTCCCTTTTATTTATATAGATGATCTGTAGAGGCCGTATTTGGAGCAGTGATTTGTCCAACTATTTTTCAGATTGTGAGGTGAGTTTGCTCACTGTACTTGTGGGTCGAAGGCACCAATGCCGACCCATTAGGTTTTGTATCCTGGTTTAGGATGTTGTTATGCTTTAGTATTATATTAAGATCTGCATGATTATCTGTTTTCTGTTATATGTTTTAATTGTTACATATGTCGGCATAGTGCAATTAGGTTGAGGCAATACTGCTATGTGCGGAAGCTAATAAACTTGGGAGCAAGCCATACATAAGTTGTGGGCCGAAAAGGCAAGTCAGAATTATGTTTTGGGCTTGTGAGTAATCCAAGAATAAGCTGAGGGCCGGAAAGCAAGCCAGACTTATGCTATGAGCTCGGGAGCAATCCATACATGAGATGTGGGCCTGAAGGGCAATCCAGACTCATGCTGCGGGCTCAGGGGTAATCCAGTCTGGTGGCTGTGGGCCAGTATGCATGCTGTTATATGATATGTGGTATATTTTGGGGGAACTCACTAAGATTTGACTTACAATTTGATTTTATGGTTTCAGGTACTCCAGAGGACAAGCGCAAGGCGAAGGCTTGATCGTGCACATCATCCTGGACTTTTATAAGATTTATGATTTTGGGATACTTTGTGTTTGTAACTTTTGGAAACTTTGTTTTTTTTAAAACTTATCGATTTAAAATGGTTTTGATAAATAAAAATCTTGCCTTGATTTTGGGGTGTTACATTTTCACTGAAGGGTATGCTGTATAAACACTTGTTCTGCTTGTGATATGAAACAAAAGGCTCGTCAGTTTGAAGTCGATAGTTGGGTTTGAAATCAATCAACTTGTTTTTGTTGACTATTACATCGTCTTTGTTATCAAAGTAAATACAATTAAAGAGCACAACAGTTGAGTGATCGATGCCATAATACCCAATCTCTAAGATCTCTTACAATATGTCGTAGTAATCCGACTCTTGCTCGACATTATACGTCTCCCCCATCAGACATACTCCAAAGTTATTCATCGCACGACCCTCACCATATTGTTTGGATTAATTATTTTTTTTGGACAACACCACCACCATCCTAATTTAGTTTAAAAAATCCCACTCATCCTACCATTATCGGACGGGGTGATGTTGGTGGTGTTGTAAAAAATATGTTATCTTCCACATATTTATAATACATTAGGAGATCTGGAGTGGGTGAGATTTTTTTGGGTTTTTTGATTTATAATAATAAAGAAAATGATTAAAAGAAATTAAAAACAATTAAAAAATAGTAATCCAATAAAATAATATTTATTAATCCAATAAAAAATAATTATTCTAATAAAACAGAAGTTAAAAGAAATTAATAATACAAGTAATATTTTTTAATATATAAATATTGTATATTCAAAATTATATTTATTATTATATAATAATCCAATAAAAAGGAAACTAAAAAATAATTAACTAAATGTTATTAATAATACAATAAAATAATATTTATTAAAATATAAATATTATATATTAAAAATAATATTTATTAATATATAATAATACAATAAAAAATTAATCTATAAAAAAATAAAAAAAATAAAAAAAAGAATTATTTAAAAGAATTAATGTATAACTGCGAAAGGGTCACCAGTTGATCCCTTCATTTTTTAAATAAGGACCTGTTAAAACTAGACAATTTGAGTTTATACATTTATGATGCAAAAAAATAACATGAAGGACCGTTTAAACATAAAATGATAGTTGGTTGGGTTATAGTGACATTAACTTTATAAAATAAACAACATAATGAAACAAAAATAATAACCAATAAACTCAAAGATCCTAATTTTCAAGGTGGCAACTTTAAAACCGAATTTTAGAGAAAGGATGAAATGATCTTAAGACTCGTAATCAAAACATTAATTAATAATCTTAGATTTCAAGAACAGAATAATTACACTGAAATAAAAAGGATAGGGTACCTTTAGTGCCATTACGTGGTTATGGATCATTGTCTTTAAGAATGGAATTTTGTTTTTAAATAATTTAAGGAAGTAAAAATTAAAGAAAAGACTCATGCTTATGCTCCCGAGGACCCTAACATTCAACCAAAAACCCAAGAAAGGAAACACTTCCTAATGAATATATCCAAAGGTTTAAAAAAATGAAACTATGCGATAATTGGATAGATAATGGTTATGTAACACCCCATCTCCCAAGTATAAATTTTTAAAGTTTAATATTCATTTTTGAACATACTCGACGAGTTGGTTGCCCCAACTCGTCGTGTAGGGACGGATATGGCCGCGCGGTTTATGGAACCTACTCGACAAGTTGGAGGACCCCAACTCGACGAGTAGAGGCTGTGCATGAAAACCCTAATTTTTAGGGTTTGCACTCTACTTAAAGGACCTTAATTCCTTCCTTCCATCTTCCTTACCATCTTTTCACATCCAGAAGAAACCCCTAAGCGATCTAACCCCATTTTGAGTGTTTGTGAGGCTAAAAGCGTGTTGTTGGTGCATTTCTTGAAGAGATTTGAAGAGATAGCAGCTTGGAACGAGAAGGGGCTTGTAGATCCATTATCTACATCATTTTGGCATCCATTTGAAGGTAAAAAGTCATTACCTTGATCATTCTTTTAATAGATCTCTTCATCCTTTAGTTTTAGGCCATTTTTAGATTAATCTTGAGGCTCTTCCGGTATTGAGCGCATTTTTGAATGGGGAGTTCAGATTTGGAATCCTCTAAGCCCTCATAGTCATAAATTTATCGAATTTGTCAAGCCTTGGCCTTCTCCTTACCCTAAAACCTCTTCCTTAGCTTGGTTTTGGCATTTTGGGCTTTGCATGCACGTAAAGTTTGCAACTTTACATGGAAACTATACCCTAGGAAGCTAGATCTTTAGTTTGGAGCCTTGGTTTAGCTTAGAAACGTTTGAATGAGAAAAAGGACTGAAGGAACTCGACGAGTTGCATAGTCAACTCGATGAGTCGGATGAGGGTTTCCCGCTTTCTGGATTCTGCATAAACTCGGCGAGTTAGCAAGGTGACTCAACGACTTGGTTCTGGAGAAAATCGGCGAGTCAACTGGGAGTTTCACGATTCTTTGAGTTTTGGAGGAACTCGACGAGTCAGTAAGCTGCACTCGACGAGTTTGGCCAACATGTATTGTTGACCTTGACGTTGACTTTGACTTTGACCAAAGGTTGACCAGTTTGACTTCTGAGGGTATTTTGGTAAATTAGGTATTTATGGAAGTGGATCATTGGTGGTTGTAGGTGTTGGTGTTTGGAGCCGTATTTCGGGAGTTTGACATTTCAGTTCTGATCGACATTGTGAGGTGAGTCGTCCTCACTATACTAACAGGGTCAAAGGCACCAATGCCGGCCCTTATTGGATTTTATCCTGGTTATTGCATGATGATATGCTTAGTGACCTGTTAGGTCGGTATCCTGGTATATAAGATGATATGTTAGCGACCTGTTAGGTCGGTATCCTGGTGTATAGGATGATGCTATGATTAGTGATCTGTTAGATCGGTCTGATTGTTTGTACATGCTAGCTAGCTTATGATATTATGTGTTGATTGTGTATGTGGGGTTGGGTTGAGGCGGACCTGCTTTGTGTTGTAGGCCTACATACCCAGGGCGGCCCAGATAGACTACAGGCCATGGGGGCATATCAGTCAGGTTGAAGGCTCGGAGAACGGTACAGACAGGCTGAAGGCCCGGTGAGGCGGACCAGACATGCTGAAGCTTTTGAGAGTGGGCCAGACAGACTGAAGGCCCGGTGAGGGCGGTCCCGTCATACTATAGAATGCTATTTGTTATTAAATGGTTATGGTTTGTATCACGTTGGTATTTTAGGGAAACTCACTAAGCTTTGGGCTTACAATTTGGATTTTGTTTCAGGTACTTCAGATTATCGTGGGAAGGCGAAGGCACGATCGTGCACCTCCTCTCATTTTTACGACTTCGTTTCTGGGATAGTCTGATATGAAACTACTTTGAAAACATTTGGTAATTGATAAAACGCCACTCAGAGCAGGCCGAGAACAAGAGAACCCCCAACAAGGAACCCCCAGCTGAGAATCCCCAGCAAGGCCGACCAGGCCCAACATGGCCCACCCAACTACTAGGTGCCCCAACGAAACCCCCGGATGTCGGGCGCCCTAGCAGGACGACTACGTGGAGGGTCATTTCCCGCCAAAGGCCGCCTTCCACTACAGTCCAAGGATAACGGCTCCAGGAAACAAGGAGCACATCCAGAGCATTATCGCCTGGACCAATCGTTAGACCTGACACAACGAGGAACACGACTCACCAATAAGGACAACGGATTTTGTCGGGATCGCTGTCTTTGTTCCTCATACGGACCGAGGAGGATCCTCAATATAAGAGGACCATCATTCTTCCATGAGAGCTAAGCCATCTCTCCCGGTTATTAGCCTTTCCCTCTCAAATACACTACTAACTTGACCGTCGGAGCATTTTCCCGGGACCTCCTCCCGGAGAATGGCTGACGGCTTTCTCTCTTTGTGACCTCCCAGGTTTTTCTCTGACAAGCACAACTTTCAACCCCAAGGTGGTCGGAGACCAGGTTGCATCATTTGGCGCCATCTGTTTGTGTGAAAACAGATACGTAAACCTATTTTTTCTTTAACACAACCACAAATGATGGACGAGGCTGTCGGCGAGCCAACACCACATAGCCCGATACGCCCAATGATCTCACTAGAGACGGCCAACACCCCAATAACACCACCACCTCAGATGACCGGTGCGGCATCTGAGGCACCACCATCCGGTGGCCCGCCACCTTCCCTTGCAACAGCTGCTTCTTTCGTTACAACCTACACACCAATACCCATACTGAATAGCATAACGCCACCGTTGTTCCCTAATGACGGCAGACGTAATCCGCCCACTTTACCTCCTATTACGCTATTTTTTCCAAACAACGCTGGTTTCAGTTTCTTACCATTACCCATGCACACCATAAATGAGCAACGGAAAACGACAATCATAACACCATCGTTGAACGGGATGCCCTCGCTTACGCCCACAACACCGGCGAATAACACTGCTAATGGCCCAAGTGTCATTCTCCAAGCGTAAAACCATCCACCACTAGTGACAGGAGTCATGCCGGCACCACCATTAACACCCTACCAGCAAATCCCCATGACCCACACGTTTCCCACCCCATTCCAGCCACAGAACTTCTATGGTCCAACACCACCAGAACTTGCGGCCTACAATAACATGCTGGTACAACCATTCTTGGCAATGCAACAACCAGGATACCACTTTTCCCAACGGACTCCGAACCAAGACTGCTTTTCACGTAGTGTCACGTCACCGTTCGTGAAAGAATTGCTGGAATACGAGATCCCCAATATAGTCAAACTACCTCACCTCAAAACATACGAAGGCACCACAGATCCAAACAGCCACATCGACACATACGAATGGACGATGACATCCTTCAAGCTAGACGAACGGTTTTGGTGCACATATTTCCCTACCACCCTAGACGGCAACACAGGGACATGGTTCAAAACGTTACCTTCTGGTAGTATCTGCAACTTCAGCCAGTTGAAATACCACTTTTTAACCAACTTCATGCAACTGCGAAAATACAAAGGCGATTGTCATTCCGTTATCGGGTGCAAGCAAAGGGAGGGGGAAACAGGCAAGGACTACTTCGCTAGGTTCACCAAGGCAACACTAGATGTTATGAGGCACGATGAGGGATTGATTGTAGGAGCGTTTACTTGGGGGCTACTTCCGGGTTCGCTATCCCAGAAACTTATGGGTAAACAACCTCAGACGAGGGCATAACTAAAAGAGCGGGTGGAGCGTTCCCTACGCCAAGAAGAAGGTGAAGCGTCAAAGCAAGCATACCTCAACGCCATGTCTTCCTCGGCCGGGAAACGGCACCACCAGCCAACCTCCCACCACAACTCCCAGAGGGGGGGGTAGGTTCTTAGGACGAGACAGGCGACCACATGGACGATTCAGACCTTTCGCAAGGGATGAAAGGCGAGGAAGTAGAGCAAAACTTTATGCCGTCGTCGAAAAACCACCAGCGAAGGGTACTAAGACGCGATATTGTGAATACCATAAAAGTAGGACGCACGACACGGTCAACTGCTCGGTCTTAAAGCGAGAAATGGAGGAAAAGCAGTTAAAGGGAAACGTGATAGAAATCACCAAAAGTCTACAAGCTAAGTTCGACGCAAAAAAATCCTAAAGACAATATAGGGGGCAGATTACCGACAAGAGATCCTCATGATCGACGATAAGCGGGGGAGAGTAGAGTGCACAAAGCCACAAACAGTGTGTGAAGCATTATGGAAACCATGCAAGGGTTAACTTTCTCTACAACCGACCCAAGCCCAACCGGGTGGAAAAGAGACAACCCCTCGTTATCCAGGGGTTCATTCGAGATACCATGATCCACTGGGTATACGTCGACATAGGGAGTTCCACAGACATCATCTACGAGCATTGCTTCCAGCTGTTGCCGGATGCATGGAAGGGGGATTGAGACCAACTACAGGCCAGCTCAAAGGATTCACAGGTGTTGGGATTAAAACCCTAATTGTGATTTGATGAACAAGATGCGGAAAATAAGAACCAACACAAATATGAAGATTAGGTCGAATGATCACTCGATTTATTCAAACAAGAGGAATAAATTACACTTTCAGCATAGACTAAAGAATCTAACACTACATAAGAAACCTCACGTGGCGGCTACATTTTGCCTCACTCTTAACCCTAATAATGAATAATACATGACTATTTATAGGGAAAAGACAAGTCTTGGGCTTTTAACCTACACTTCATCAAAAGGGCCCATTGCCATCATCCATGGAGTGCTTTGAAACCCTACAATCTCCCCCTCAAAGTATGGAATGGATGACAATGCTTTAACTTCCAAAACAAGCATCTAGCAAATAAAAAGATCTTGCAACGAGGAATAGATGAAGAAATCCACGAATCTTGATTCTTCAATAGTCTTCAAACACGGGCTCTAGGATATATAAATCAAGCACTGAAGTAATGTCTTTAAACTTCATTTTCGAATGTAATCCCAAAAAAATCTTCATGAAAACCAAGCCCGCCATAAAAACCCATTTCAGAACAAAGAAACCGAATCACTTCTTGTCTTTGAAGAGCTCCCCCTCCAAGTCACAATGATCTTCAAATAAGCTAATGATATAAGCCATCAAAAAATATCATGTAACAACCCAAACTTTAAGATTCGTAATGCCACTTGATCGAGAAAATACTAGAAGTCGGAGATATAACAAGTCCTTAGCAGAGCTCGATAAAGAACTTCCGATGTAAAGGATACTTCTCTGTAAAAGCTTTAGCATAGCTCGATGAAGAACTTCCACTGTAAAAGCTACCTTCATAATTCTACCACAAGCTTTATCAAAAATCTTCAACTTTGAAAAGTTACAAATCCAATTTCGAATGGCCATACCAAATTCTCCCCCGATTTATAATCGAAAACGTGATTATAAATCCTTCTTATGGTCATGAGAATGATCTTGAATGGATAAAAATTACTGTGCTCCCCCGCGACAAAACGATATATACAATGAAGTATAAAATCTGAAAAAGTCGTGAAAATTTGTCGTTATCAGCAAAAACGACTTTCCGAACCGCCAAGACTTGATGGAATCCATAATTTTCTGTTCACGAAAAAATGTATGCATTAAAGAATTCAAAACTGTTCACCAGCCCTCAAATTTGTAAACTTTTCTGAATATAGGGCATAAACTGTCACTTGCTGACAGACAGGGGCTGGAATGGTAATTCTGCATCAATATACCCCTTTATTTGCAACAAAATCTGGAATTGGTCCAAAACTGCCAAGGCATGAAACGCATAGGGACCAAAGGAGTCAAATAACTGAAGTTTCAGGGACCATGAATGTAACATGGTATATTCTTCCCCAAGACGTCTGAATAAAAGGACACAACTGGAACGATGGTTATAAACGAATTGTTACAGGCGAGCACGAACAATGATATTAAAGCGAAGGTTTATACCGAGCTCATGAAATTATACACCTGAAGCGAACCCAACCGAAGGTTCATTTCCTTTCGTTTCCATTTCCGTTTCAAGCTCCTTCAGGCGAATCACCCTTTCGCTCCAAGCTCTTTCGTTCCAAGAGCTTACATACACAAATTCGTTCCATGTTCTTTTCGAGCACGAGCCTTTATACCGATCCTTGAGTTCTGAACGCCAAGAATCATACCCAAAGCGAACCAATTTCAAAGAAGAACCCATTCACAGGTTCGCTTCCGAGTACAAGCAACCGAAACCAAGTTCGGTCCAGGTTCATTGAACCGAAACCATGTTCGGTCTGAGCACAGGTTCGCTTTCGGTTCATCCCCCTTTCGTTCCATTACTTTTGTTCCAAGTGCTAACACATGAACACATATTCGTTCCAAGCACATAAGGCGTTTGTGAAAAGCGAATAGAGATAACAGGTTCGTTTTTGAGCAATAACGAGTGCGAGCCGAACATTCCAGGTAAGAAAGGTTCACAGCAATTTTGACTTTTCTGAATGTGCCTTTGACTTTTAATTGCGAATAAGCACACAACCATTTCGATTCCGATACCTGATTTTTAATTCTGGATTCTGTTCTTGTTCGGAATGCCAAATAATTCTGATCAATTCTTTCTATTCCAATCATGGGTCCAATTCTGATTGAAGATTTATGTCCCGATTACGAGACCCACTTGAGGATTGCGAACAGGTCTTCAAAGCAATTTGTTCATGAACTCAAAATTTTGACTTTTTCGTTTGACCCATTTTATTACGAACCAAAAGAACGTGAAGCACCACAATTTGATTTTGACTTTTTGCATAGACTACCAAAACGAGATCCAATACAGTTCATCCCATCTTCATCATCCATTGACTATCAAATTTCCAGAAATCAATAATCACAAATCTCCAAATCGACAATCGTTGACTTTCACAATATCTCCAAATCAATCAAGTATAACACGAATCATCACATCAATATGCAATGAATTGAAATAATAAATCGATTCAGAACAAACAAAAAAAATCAAGAATAGTTGAATATGAAATCAAATCGATCATATGAATTTGAATTAGAAAGTCGATTGATAAGATAAAAAAAATAAAACGTGATTTCGATTTGAATCTAAGAACGAGATTCCAACTGGAACTAATATTCTCGATGGAAACGGGATCTTGAAATCGACTGAGCTCAATAAATTTGAAAGAAAATACGATCCGGATATGATAGCCAATTTCAAGAAATTAAAGAAAATCGAGCACTAGATAAAAAAGAAAGAGATAAATCAATTGGGAATAATGATTTGGGCTCAAATAAATGATATGAACGGTAACAATATCAGATTGTAATATGCCCAAATTGAATCAAATAAACGATATGAACAATAACTCGTGATTTGGGCAAAAACGTATAGATCTATGAATAATAATTGAATCAAAAGACTTTGAGTATAAAACAAATCAGATCCTTAGAAAAATATGAACTGAATGAGAATCGGATTGGAATTACCATGATGAACAGTAACAGAATACATAAGTCTCCATGAACAGTAAATCGAACAAAAATCTTGATTTCATACCGCCAGAACACCAATAATCTTCAATAACATTTGCAGAAAATCATCAAACCAAGAACCGATACTTCAAAAATCAATAGATCTTCAAAGACCCGCTTTGATACCACTTGTTGAGAATCAGCACTACTGGTTGATCTAAAACCAATTGGTGTTAGAAAGGCACTACCTTACCCATATAGTGCATTCAACCCTCCAGGACCAGGCATTCTATTGCGGCACTCCAGGCCATCGTGCGAGGACTTGGTCGATGCCATTTCTGACCCCCAACAATCCCCCCTTCGGAAATTGCTCCCTGAGAGAATAGAACCCTCGCCACTGGCTCTGATACCACTTGTTGGGATTAAAACCCTAATTGTGATTTGATGAACAAGATGCGGAAAATAAGAACCAACACAAATATGAAGATTAGGTCGAATGATCACTCGATTTATTCAAACAAGAGGAATAAATTACACTTTCAGCATAGA